GCCAACTGACTGCTCGGGCGTGCGGCTGGGCATGTTCCGAGGCCTCTGGACATGACTCGGTTCACTAAGGCACGACACTGAACACTCGGGTGCGCTGCTGGCACGACCCGAGGTCGACTTCGCGTGGCACGAGCGACTTGCTCGAGGTCACGCGTGCACTGACGCTGGGACAACGCTGTCGGGCACTGTCGGAGGTGCTCTGGCGCTGAGACCTCGCTGGCTGGCACGGACAGGCGCTGCTGGGCGCTGTCGCGTGCGCTGGGGGCTGTGGTGCCTCGCGAGCGCTAGGCGCGGGCACGGACAGAGGCACTGCCTGGCCTATGCGATGCGGCACGGGCACGGCACGCGCGACTGGCGCGGCTGATGACCCTAGGCGGTCCTTTGCCGAACTTCCGGCAACTTTTCCGGTGACTATTGAACCAACCCAACATAAAATGACATAATACACTCAAAAATGTCAAAAGTCACTGAGGGACCTCGATTGGATTTGGAGATGGGCTTATAGGGCCGCCGATTAGGCACGAGGCTACACTAGGGCACGAAAATGAACATGCTCAACATGCAAAATAACTTAGGGCCGAAAGATATACATAAAAAATCAATGCTATTGAGGCTAGGACATTGGCTACAACATGCATGCATATAGGGCTCATAAATCCAATGTCATTCTCATGATTTTTGAGGGATAATAAGCTATGAAAAACGGCCTAATCATGCATGCAACTCCATTTCCGAAATTAGGGCTCATAAATCCATAAATTCGAAACTTGCTCTAAAACATGTGCATGCATGAAATTTCCTTCATAATAATTCTCCAAATATCACGTAAAGGCTAGGAAAAATAAGAGTCACGAGGTGACCTTGCTCGAACTCAAGAATAGGCGAAGATGGCCTTCTAGGGCTCACTCGTGGCTTAGGTGTCCTTGGCCTCGGCTAAGGGGCTCAACGGCTGAAAAGGTGACCTCAAGAGCCTTAGAAAAATCCAAGTAACTTTTGGATAGTATTAAGACGCGAGAGGTATGGCTGGAGCACGAGAAATACGCGTCTAAACTCTTCTCGGGTCAAGGCTTGCGCGCGCGAGGCTTGAGGTCCCTTCTCGGTTTTTCTCACTCTCCCTCTCTATATGTTGAATAGTTAGAGTGTCAAATGACTTGAACTCAGCTGATAAATTACCCTTTTATAGGAGAGAGGGGCAGAGTTCACAATGCTCAAAGGGGAAGACCAATCCTCACACGCGCGCGTCCTTGGGTGGTACGGTCTTAGGGGCATGACTTGGTGGAGTGGTGGCAAGCTTTGCACGGTCTTCATGGGCAAAAATGGTGGACTTCCAGACTATGATGGGTGGAGTGGCAGGTTCTGGTCAGGCCACTATGTGCATGGGAGACAAACTCTACACACATGCATTAGAATAATATAATGCCCATCATCCCACTACATGCTAATATTGAGTTGACTTTCCTTAATCCTTATTAAGGCTTGCTTAAGTTAAATGAACTCCAAAAGACCTCCAGAATACTCGGAACATATTGGGCTTCCAAGGACTTGGGCCATACTAAGCACATTGGGCTCGGGGCCACTCGCAAGTGGGCTAGGCGCGCGTCCTGCTGGAGCTGGGCACGGACTTGCGCGCGGGCTGGAATAAGCCATCTCTTGGGCCGAAAATGCCACACACTTAGGACTGGACAGTGGTTGACTTGAGGCCCAAAATACTTAGGATAATATCATGAATACTCGGTCATGACTCGAGCTCGGGTAAGGACTCGCGCGAGGCTTGGGCGCGCATCACTTGGGCGCGAGGGCTACATTATTCGGGCCGCGAATACCTCATATAAGGGGCTGGACTTGTGGCTCAAAAAGGAACTAAAATACTTAGGAAAATATGCCATCATTACTAGCCATGACTTTAGCACTCGCACTCGGTGAGGCGCGTGGCCTTGGGCACGTGGACTCGAACCATTGCACGAGCTCGGTGCGTGGTTCCTCTCGACCGAGTGACTTGGACTAGGGCTCGATAAATTAATCTCATACTTAGAAATATTCTAAGTAAGGCTAGGAGCACAACTAGGGCTCGAACAAGACTCGGCACGGCTAGGGCTCGAGACTCGACTAGGCGCGATACCCGTGACCGAATGACTCGGTTCCGGACACGACTTGACTTGGACGATTTATCGAAACATACTCGGTTTCGATCATTCGTCAACTGGAAATATTAATTCCGACTGAATAACATCTATTACTAAACATAGATGGTCTGGAATTAATACTGAGATTGAATAGCAGATAACTAGGCTCGGAACTCAAGACGAGCAGTATTAATAAAAAGAAATAGTTCAACTTGGAACTAAAAACTGTCATTTTTTTATTAATACAGAATTGGGCTATTACAATTTGTCCCCCTTAAAATATTTCCGCCCTCGGAAATGCTAAAACGGGGAAAAACATACAACTGGATACAATCAAAACTGAATATCTGGAAAACGAGCTCTGATGTCCGCTTCGCGCTCCCAAGTGGCATCTGAATCTCCGTGGCGATTCCATCTGATACGAACGAGGGGAATGTCTCGGTTCCTGAGCCGAAGGACCTTTTGATCCAATACTCCTACTGGCTGCTCCTCGTAAGTCAAATCTGGCTGAAGCTGAATCTCGCTGTGCTGAAGCACATGCTCGGGATCGCACACGTATGGGCGTAACATCGAAACGTGAAACACGTTATGCACGCCAGCCAACTCAGGAGGCAGAGCTACTCGATAGGCGACTTCGCCCACTCGCGCGAGAATCTCAAACGGGCCTATATAGCGAGGATGCAACTTCCCGAAGCGAACGACACCTCTCATCGGTCGAACCTTCAGGAATACATGATCTCCGGGCTCAAAGTGCATCTCTCGTCTATGCTTGTCGGCTGAGGACTTTTGCCGACTCTGGGCTATCTTGAGCCTCTCTTTGATCTAGGCTACCTGCTCAACTGTCTCCTCGATCAACTTCGGACCAAGTACTCGTCGCTCTCCGACGTCATCCCAATAAAGGGGCGAACGGTACTTGCGGCCATAAAGTGCTTCGTAGGGAGCCATCTGAATAGATGCCTGATAACTGTTGTTATAGGCGAACTCAACTAGTGGTAGCCACTTCTCCCACTTAGCACCTCTATCCAGAATCAAGGCTCGGAGCATATCCTCAAGCATCTGGATCGTCTTCTCGGAGTGGCCGTCCGTCTCTGGATGGTAAGCCGAACTGAATTTTAACTGGGTGCCCATTGCCTCATGCAAACTCTCCCAGAATCTGCTGGTGAATCTGGGATCTCGATCGGACATGATCGTAACAGGCACTCCGTGGAGCCGGATAACACCACGGGTATATATCTCGGCTAATTATCCATCGACATGGTCATCGTCACAGGCATAAAATGTGCGACTTTCGTCAGCCTGTCTACCACTACCCAAATCGCGTCGTGATGCTCGGACGACTTAGGTAGTCCCGTGACGAAGTCCATGGTAACCTCTTCCCACTTCCAGCTGGGAATCTCAAGTGGCTGTAGCAGACCTATGGGACTTTTGTGCTCGGCCTTAACTTGCTGACAGACCAAACACTTCTTCACGAAGTCTGCTACATCTCTCTTCATTCCTCGCCACCAGAACGACCTTTTCAGGTTGTGGTACATCTTGGTACTCCCAGGGTGGGCTAGATACGGCGCATTATGGGCCTCAGTCAGGATTTCCTTGCGTAACGTCCCGACTTTTGGCACGACAATGCGGCCTCTGAACTCCAAGGCTCCATCTGCGCCTCGGTAAAGGCCCTCTATGCCCCCGGCGTGAACCTTCGCTTCTAAAGTGCGAATGAACTGATCGCAAGATTGCTCCCGCCGGATTCTATCCCTCAGCATGGGCTGAAATCGCATCGAGCTAACACTCCCCGAAATCTCCTTATGAAGTGAGTCGACGACCTCAATCTGCATCCGGGCAAACTCTTGGATAAGCTGGCGCTGATCGGTGATAGAACAAACCGACTCACCCTTCACCTTTCGGCTTAGGGAGTCTTCTACCACGTTCGCCTTCCCCGGATGGTACTGTATGGTGCAGTCATAATCATTCACAAGCTCCAACCATCGCCTCTGGCGCATGTTGAGCTCCTTCTGTGTGAAGATATACTGCAGACTTTTGTGATCGGTAAAGATCTCACACCGACCACCATACAGATAATGGCGCCAAAACTTGAGTGCATGCACTATCACTGCCAACTCTAGGTCGTGCGTAGGATAATTCTGCTCATGTGGCTTCAAGTGACGTGAAGCGTACGCAACGACTTGGCCATCTTGCATCAGCACACACCCAAGACCCTGTTTCGAGGCATCACTAAAGATGGTGAAACCTCGAGTAGGATCCGGAATAGTCAGCACTGGAGCCGTCGTAAGCCTCTTCTTGAGCGCCCGAAAGCTCTCCTCACAATGACTCGACCACTCAAACTTCACAGATTTCCTCGTCAACTTGGACAAGGGGAGAGCAACCTTAGAAAATCCCTCGATGAATCTGCGATAGTACCCTGCCAGACCGAGAAAACTGCCGACCTCGGTGGGACTTCTGGACGCTGACCAGTTCCGAACTGCGGCAATCTTCGCCGGATCAACTTCAATGCCTCTCTCGGTGATGATGTGGCCTAGAAATGCCACTCGCTTCAGCCAAAATTCACACTTGGAAAACTTGGCGTACAGCTTTTCTCGCCTAAGGGTCCCTAGAACAACCCTCAGATGCTGTTCATGCTCCTGCAAACTCCTGGAGTAGACCAAAATGTCATCAATAAAGACGATAACAAATCGGTCTAAATATTGATGGAACACCCGATTCATCAAATCCATGAATACCGCTGGCGCATTGCTCAGACCAAACGGCATAGCCACAAACTTGTAGTGTCCATATCTCGTCCAGAAAGCAGTCTTGGCTACATCGGACTCCTTAATCTTCAGCTGATGATAGCCTGAGCGTAAATCAATCTTGGAAAATACGCGAGCTCCTCAGCTGGTCCAACAAGTCGTCTATCCTGGAGAGCGGATACTTATTCTTCATTGTTAACTGGTTGAGATCCCGGTAATCGATGCACATTCTCATGGATCCGTCTTTCTTCTTGACGAATAGGACGGGTGCTCCCCAAGGTGAGACGCTGGGTCGAATAAATCCGAGTTTCAACAACTCTTCGATCTGCGCCTTCAGCTCCTGCAACTCCTTTAGAGCCATACGGTATGGTGCCTTAGACACCGGTCATGCTCCTGGAACAAGGTCGATGGTGAACTCCACCTGCCTGTTAGGTGGTCCTCCTGGTAGCTAGTCCGGGAACACATCCACAAACTCACGTACAACTGGAACATCGTGAGGTGTCTGTGCTCTCGATCCTTCATCGACAAGGCTCACCAGGTAACCCTGACAATCTCCTCTGTGCAGAATCTTCCTCGCCTTTGCCATCGAAACAACTCGAGGAAGGGTTCGCGTCTTTGAGCCGAAAAACATGATCTGACTATCCTTCGGAAGATGAAGAATAACCTCCCGATCGTGGCAACGAATGTCCGCTCGATAACGCGTCAACCAATCCATACCGAGAATGAGGTCGAAATCCCTCATCTCGATAACATAAGCTTCGGCCTTTAGGATTCGGCTGCCAATACTAAGGTTAAGGTCTTCTGCCTTGGAGCTCGTCACTATCTTCCTTCCCGAGGCTAGACTCACCTCGAGAGGGTCAACAGTGGTGATGGGCTAAACTCCAATGGCCTCTACACATCGAGTTGACACGAAAGAGTGCGTCGCACCAGTGTCGAACAGAGCAAATATAGGTATATCATTTAAAACAATCATCCCAGACATAGTACCTGGGTTTTGTTCTGCCTCAGCCTGCTCAACTGCATACACCTGAGCCTGTTGTCCTCGCCTCTGCTGCTGAGGCGGCCATGCTGCTGCTGCGGCTGCTGCTGTCGGGGCTGCTGCTGGGGCTGCTGCTGCTGCGGCCTATCCGGAAAGTTTCGAACGGTATGTCCGGGCCTCCGACAGTGAAAGCAGACATTCTGTCCAGCAAGACACTCTCCGCGGTGCGGGCGTCCGCATGTGCCACAAGCTGGAACCTGTGGCTGTCTCTGCCTGTTCCTCCTGTCATTCTGCTGACCCTTCCACTTTCTCTTGTTCTTAGGCTTCGCCTGCTGGACAGGCGCTGGCTGAGCTGGGAGTAACGCCGGATACTGAGTTGGGGGCAACACTGATGGCTGAACTAGGTCTATCCTGAGACTGGCGTCTCTCTCCTGGGCCTTAGCGACGACATCGGCGTAAGACTGGACGCCATGTCCCGCTACGTGGTGACGGATAGCTGGCAGTAATCCATCACGGAAGCGTCTCGCCCTCTTCGCCTCTGTGTCTACCAGATAAGGGACAAAGGCCCCGAGACGAACAAACTCCCGCTCGTACTCATCCACGGAGCGGTGGCCCTGCTTAAGTGCCAAGAACTGGCGCTCCATCTCAGCCTTGTAGGTATCCGGGTAATACTTCTCCCGCAGCATCTCCGTGAACTGTGGCCATGTGAGGTTCTCCTTCTCACCAGGGCGCATGCCCCAGTAGGAGTTCCACCACAGCCTGGCGTCTCCTGTCATCTGGACCTGGGCACACAGAATGTTGTGCCTC